CTAGCTTTAATGATGATAAAACTGGAAAGAAAGGAAAACAGTGTAATGATCTATTCCCAATAAGTTTTGGTTGAATTTTCCATCTACGGCCACAGAACTTCTCACTGGTACACCAAATTTCTTTGTTCGAAGCTGAAGTTCATTAAAACTTAAATAACAAAAGAACTATGCAAAGACATCCGACTGTTGTAGTGTATATTGGGTTGATTCTGAAGAAAATATTTATTTCGTAGAACATTATAATTTTGTAACAAATATATTTTTAATGAATTAATGTTCGCCCAACTATTGTTGGAGTAATTTTTTATTATTATTATTATAAAATTCTGTGTGTTTACAGTCCAAACTATTTTGTTTTATCCTTTCGTGTCCATTTCTACCTCGAACTTTGATGTTCTTTTCTGCTACTTATTTTACAGATATTTATGCTGGGTTTTTTTATCTCTATATTCTTTGTATACTTTTCACTTCTTCTTTTTTTCTTTATGGTAGCTGATGTGGACTCAGAAACTGAATTTTTAATTATTTTTTATCCAATGCTGGCAAAAAAAAAAAAACTGATTTTAGAATTACCCAGTTATACTCCTTTATGGATTTAATTGTTTTAATGGTTTAAAGATTGTAGTTGTGTAAAGCTGAAATTAATTTTTCAATTTAAAAGTTGAATAATTATACATATACATTATTTTGAATTAACTTACTTTTTTGTCAATTTTTCTGGTCTATAAATAATTTAATGTATTTTAACAACCTTTCAATCCTTAACCATTTACCTTCCCTAGGTCAATGCCCTTGCCAGTTTTCAAAGTATTGGTTATAATCTCGCTTTCCTATTTCGTGTAGCTGTTTTTTTATTAAATTAATTGATTATACCCTGTTATTACTATTCATGGTTGTAAAGGTTCTTCCAATCCTTAAACATTGCAGTGCTACTCTGCTGGGTTACACAAGATTTTGAACTATATGCAGCTTTTGATCCCCTTGCTGACAAGGTATGATTATGAGAATATCTAGCTATGAACTATAGTTTATCTGAGTCTTTCATGAAATTATGCGTTTTCTTTCAAAGAATGTGTTTTAAGTCAATTGTACTAGCTAAACTTGGTTGAACACACCTTGCTGCATTTTTGTTGGTCTTGGACAAGATAATTCATTCTAATGAGATGATCTATCCCAGCTCAGGAATGGCATTTAACTTGCTTTAATCAGTAGATTATGCATTCTTTATCATTGTGCATCTTTTAATAGCTGATAGCCTGTTACTGAAACTAGGATAATATTTGAGGTTTTTGATCATCGTATTGAATTATATAAAATTTTCTGATGTGTCTTTACGTGAATCGAAGCCCTTAAACCACAGTGTTTTGTGACTGGTGTCTTAGAATCACTAATGCTCGTACTATTATCAAATAAATTAATCGAAGATTTAGGATTTTGTTGCGGAAGACAAAAGCACACGACTGCCTGTTATCTCTGGGTATGTCTTGCTTACTCATTTTTGTGCTATCTACATGTCTCTTTAAAAAGATTGATTACAGTACCTAGAGTTGATCAATCTATTTTTAATCTTTGGTTCAGTAAGGATAGGTAGCAATAAATATGATCTGAAAGATCCTCTTGAACCTTTAGAAGTATTGGACACTTCACTCGAAATTAACGTGTGAAATTATAACTTGCACAGGCAATCGCCAACTGTGTGCGTGGGATTTTAATTATGCATTTTCGTGGTTATCATGTATGGTAAATTTGATGTTGCAGGCTTTGGCAATAAAAACATGCAATCGGGTTTGTCAATGGATAAAAGACGTAGAAAATGAAATTTTCTTGTTGGGAGCAAGTCCATTTTCATGGTGATTTCCCCAATTACTATGTACATGAAATGTATTCGACGTTCTCTATTATTTATCCCTTCTGTTTTGCCTTTTACATAGAAATTATTTTTAATAGGCTCTATACGTGCTTGATTGTAGTTATACTTGTACCTTCTTACACTGCACTGTACGCGACTTGTAGCTCTCGACTTTTCTTATCATTTTATGAGCATCTTGTATCAATTTGAGGCTCTTAGAACAATTCTCCTTTGCTTTGTGTTTAACAAAATTGCAGTTTATTTGTATCGATTATTACTTATCTTGAGTAGCAGAGGCCAAATTCGTTTCTGTCGTGTCAATGTACAAGTAGAAGGTGTTAGTCGAATATGGAATATTTACATTTATGACATGCTTGATACAAAATATCAAGATATAGCACAAAGTAAAGGATTTCAGCTGCTTTCATCTTGAGCGATGTTGTCCCATTCTACCTATTAAACGTCTTTGAAGCTCTATTATGAACTTCAAAATTGGGGCAACTGAATGATTTTTTATTTTTATTTTCGAGTGGTGGTCACTTTACTTACAGATCAGTTTCTTTTGGTCATTAGACTTTAACTTATTTCAATTCAGTACTATCGTCACCTAAATGATTGTTTGACATTAAACGAGTGGTTAGTTTTGGTACTGCATTAAAAGTTCTCCAATTTTGAAAGGAGACTAGGGCTAGGAATGACAAAAAAATTCATCAAACTTGATACCCGCAGTTTTTAACTTAAACCATGCGACTGCATAGGCATAATATCTAGACGGTCGCATGGGTACTTACCAAAACTTGAAGGCCCTTGTGCGGTTGAACCAAGGGACCGCATGGCTTTGTACCATGCGGTCCTCATGGTATAAACAAGGTCATTGGCGGTAGTTTATTAACGTTTCAGAGCATTGGAAACTTGAATTTGGTGGCCTTTCATGTATAATTTGGCACCATTTCGTGTATATGGATGAGGTCTATATATTTATAGTGGAGCAATGTTCAAGCCAAGATAATATAGAAAAACACCTTGAGATTTATTCCAATTCACATAAAAGATCATATCCTGGTTCTTCTCTCATATCTATTTTGTTTATTGTGTTCTACAAGTTTTGACGAAAAATTTCTTGTGTTCTGTTATTTTCTACATCAAAGCTTATTATAATCCTTCAAACCATTTGCTGGAATATTTTTAAGCTTCTCAAAAACACTGGAGAAGGAGCAAAAAAAAGTTTGAGGATAGCGATCCTGCGTTCAAGCCTTCAAAATTGTTCTTCATAACTTTCTAATTCTTCATCTTGTTTGCTACAAATTTTATGTTATATCTTTTGTTTCTTCTCCATCACTTCCATATTTCCAACAATCTCAAACGTTAGTTTGCTGCGATGGAGAGCGAGACTACAATGTCAACCATAAAATTCATGAATCAAGATTTGGTGCGGTTGGATCGGTTCGATGACACTAACTTCACGAGGTGGCAAGACAAGTTGAAATTCCTCCTTACTGCATTGAAGATCTTCTATATTTTGGATCCAGATTTGGTATCGTTACGGGAACAGACAAATGGAGAGACTGAAGCAATCAAGATTGAAAGGCAAAAACGACAAGAAGATGAATTAATATGCCATGATCACATACTCAACGCGCTGTCGATTGTTTGTATGATTTATATACCAACACAACATCGGCAAAGGAGATTTGGAATGCATTGGAAAGTAAGTATAAAGTAGAAGAGGAAGGTACCAAGAAATTTTTGATTTCTAAATACTTTGCTTTTAAGTTTCTTGATAATATCCCCTTACTTCCCCAAGTACACAAATTACAAGTTATTGTCAACAAATTAAAGGTGGTGAAGATTGAAATTTCGGGGACCTTTCAAGTGGGGGCTATAATTGCTAAACTCCCAAGGACTTGGAAAGGATACCGGAAGAAAATAATACATAGTTTCGAAGATTATTCTTTGGAATAATTGCAAAAATATCTTCGGATTGACGAAGAATTTAGATTGCGTGATAGAGGTGAAAACTCATTGGAAGGAACTTCTAAGGCAAATGTCGTTGAAAAATCTGAACCGCTTGCAAAGTTTAACAAGAGGAAGCCTTCAAGGAACTTTAACAAGTTCAAGAAGAAGACCAAATCTTCTTCTTGAACTTGTTTAAAATAAATTTCATCCAAGAGGACAAAATTGTGGAATTTATTTTACATTATTATGTTTAAATCTTGGATAAAATTTATTACACATGAAACGAAACAATTCCGAAGGTAAAATAAATTTCATCTAAGAGGACAAAATTGTGGCCACCATAAATGAAATAAATGCAATCAAGGGAAAGGTTCCCGAGTGGTGGTATGATACTTGTGCTACTGTACATGTATCATATGATAAATCTTTATTCAAAACATATCATGAAGTGGATGGAGACTAAGAGATTCAAATGGGTAACGAAGTTCGGTCCAAAGTCATTGGAAAAGGAAATGTTGATATCATCTTCACTTTTGAGAAAAACGTTGCTCTTACAAATGTACTACATGTTCT